CGGGGGGGGGGGGCAACCTTCCAGCTCTGCAGCGTGGATGAGTGGCATGGTGTTGGTGGGAAGGCCAGATCCCCTTCAGGACTAGTGTATGGGTCAGTCTTCAGGTAATACCCCAGGTGCTGTGCCCATCTAGCTATGCAACAGCCTGACCCTGCATGCCCCCAGGTGCTGGCTTGACCTAGTGAGCCCCGATCTGATCATGTGCTGGCCTGACCCTGGACATCCCAATCCAGCCATGCACCAGCTTGACCCTATGCACCACAATGTGGTCACCTGCTGGCCTGACCCTGAGCATCCCGATCATTCACGCACTGGCCCAACCCTGTGCAAACAAAATCAGCTGTGTGCCGATCTGCCCCTGCGTACCCCAATCCAGCCACGGGCCAGCCTGTCCCCACATATCCCCAATCCAGCCACACACCAGTCTGACCCCACATGCCCCAATCCACCTGCATGCCAGCTGACTCCATGCACCCCAATCTGAGCATGGGGTGACCTCACATGTCTGTGTGACTGTGCGCAGGCATGATCTAGCACACTGGGATATGCCATCTGGCCCATGGACCTCCCCAGAGGTCCAGAAATTTGGCAGCAGGGGTGCAGCAATTAATGTTGAGACCACTTCTCTGTCATCTGTGGGCTGGATAACATGGCTCGGTGGGCTGGATCTGGTCTGGGGGCCAGAGGTTGAGCACCGCTGCCCTAGAACAATGTGCCTTGCCATCAGTATGCCTTCAAATCAGCCAAGACTCTTAGATAAAACTGACTAAGCAAATATTGATTCAGAGGCCAGCCTGCTTGTGAAACAGCTTCATCCTGCATGTTTAAGACTGCCCTTTCTCAAGGGCACTGGCTTCTTCACTCCCAATATCCACTTGCTTTGCTTTTGTTTATGAACAACTATGATCCTTTGTGCTCCTTTTGCATTACCGGCAGCAATGCCTCTGCATCACATCTCTTGAAGTCAGCAGGGCCCAGCCATGCTCCAAAGGGAGCAAACAGCTTTGGAGAGGGCAGATGACACTGAGAGCAACAGATGAATGGCTGTGACTGGTGAAGGAGATGGTGCAACATCCCTGCAGGCTGGAAAAAGTCATCTGTGTTCAGGAAATGTGTGTGCATTGTGACTAAACCACTGGGCAATTGCCGTGGAATAGCGAATGCTGTAGGTTCGCACGCTAGCTTACCTTGTGGTAACCCGTTCATGCTGCCATGCTCTGAGCCAGGGATGGGCACTCAAGGGTCTAAAGATCTACTGGTCTTCCCATGCATTAGCTCTGGGAAGCTGACTCCTCTTGGGCTATCCCGGTTTCCTATCACAAGGCTGAAGAGTTATGCTGGGCTTCTGTCTAGCCATCCTCCCCTCAACAAAAGCCTTGAAGCACTTGAACTGTGCCCCACAAAAGGCTGGTCCATGGCACAAGCTCCTCTTTACTTCTAACACGCAAGGGCTCTGCAAGCTGACTCTGGGCAATGCTGATATTTCATTACAGTTAATACTCCTGGGGAAAGTGTGGTGGTATTTGCTCAGGTCTAACCACTCACCCGAATCCTCCTTCCCCCCCTCGGGCATCACATATTTCAATGCTTATTTCTTTAAAAGGCCTTTGCAGGCACACTGAAACCACAGCTGAAATGTAGTGGGAGATTGAAGATGAGAGCCTAACATGCAGAGTGACATGAGCATATGCCAGCATCCAGGAACTAGCTGTCACCCTATTACCAGAGCTCCCTGCAAACCACTAGACAATAAATTTGAGCCATTATTATAAAACCAACAAGTTAATTTAAAACCGAGTGCAGTGGGGAATTGGGTAAGTGGAAGCCATTATATCTGCTTCGTGCCGATGTCTGTGGATCAAATTTAAAGCTGTGATAAGACTTTTTTTTTTTTTTTAATTTCAAGGCTCCTGATTAACTCTCCCTTCAACCTGATAATTATTCATGCCCGGAGTGGCTGCTTGTCATGGCAGGGGAAGTGACCTTGTGACCAAGTCATTAAGCAGCCCTGGAAAGCAGAGTCAGCAAAATGGGATCCCCCAAGCAAATCACTACAGGTGGAGGAAACGGCCTTGCTCTCACGTGAATGCCTTTTTGCTTTGGTCCTGATGGGTGAGCAACAGTCAAGGATAAATGTGAAAAGCCCAGATTTACAAACTGGAAACAGCTGAGCAAATGGACCAAGCAGGGCTGCACAATACTAAGGGGCTCTCAAGCTGCATTTCATAGACGGTCTCTGAAGCACTTTCTAATAGACCATGAAATGCTAGCTTGTAACTTGCTGCTTGCTTTTTCTCTTTCCTCTTGCCACGTCATCCCCTGAAGTTCAGCAAACACTCCCAAACTTGACAAGTGTCACTTTTCTACATGAGCAATTGCTACAGAGGACCACAAAAGTAGGCAATGGCCCATGAGCAGGGAGCACAGGGAGGCAATGGGAATAAGCAGGCTAGAAAACAGACCACAGGAGAAGGAGCCAGTGGCTGAATAGTAGCAAGTGGAGCCAAGCAAAGGAGTGGGGTGGCTGAGTTCGGCCAAGAGCAAGGCATGGGTCAACAGAGGCAATTTCCAAGACAGCATCCCTGTAATGAAGATGAAGTTTGCACTGGTTGAGGATGCCAGGTTTGAAGCACCCCTTCATCTGTCTGTGCCACTTGTTTCCCTTGGGCTCTGTGGTTCAAAGGGAGGCTGGTCTGAAAGTCCGAGAGGGAGAGTATTGTCATCTATTCCGTGACACCGAATTTTCCCTGCAGGGATGTGAGGTCCCCCACACCCTGTGAGTCGCTCGCCCACTCGGGAGCAGTCTCCAGAGCGGTTGCTCATTCCAGCTCTTTATTTCCCTCCCAGCTCCACCCCGCTAGCACAAAGATGTGGTCCCGTGGGGACTCCACACTTCCCTGCCCCATTAACATTACAGTATAATAGATCAACCAAGCAAAATGAAAGCACATGACCACCTACCAACACACCTTGGCAGAGGCGAACTCCACACACGCCGTCTACCCCCCAGGCAGGTGATGCGTGAAACGCCCTCCAGTCTGTAGCCGGGGAAGCAGGAGAAGGTCAGCATGTCCCCCACACCAAACTGTAGGCCCTTCCTGATGCTGTAGGCTGGGACCTCGGGCTCATCGCAAGGCTCCAGGTCATACTCTAGGGAGGGTCACAACGACAGGCTGTGTTACAGCATGGCTCATCAAATTCAGTTCCCTTGTCCCCCCAGGGTGTCGCAGAAGCTGGATGCAATGATTATAATGTGGCTCAGGGATTTGTTTAAAGCCCAGGTGCAGCTCGTCCTTTTGCAACATGGCCAGCCTGAGACCCAAATTCTGCTTGCACTGCTGCAACAACATGGGGTTTCACCCTAAGGACGCTAGGAGAGGGCTGGAGCTGTCCTCTGGATCCAAGTCAGTTCAAAATGCATTGGGCCTGTTCACCACCGAGGGCAAAGAGATACCCAGGGGGAGAAATCCAAACAGTAGCAATTTGCTCTCCCTTTGGGCAGGTGGAAAGGACATGAGAAGTCAGGACCCATCTCCTCACATTCCTGAGGAGTGCAGCTTCTTCACACCGCCTCTACTCTTCTTGACCACTCAGCTCCCACATCACTGTCACATTCGTTATCCTGACATGATACTGAGAAGTGCCTGACCAGCTGGAAAACCCCAATGCAATGCACCTCCAGCAGCCAACTGACATGTTGCTCCCTGCAGAGCAGGAGGAGGGAGAGATCTCAGCCAAAGAAACCAAGGGCAACAATTGTCCATTCTGAAAAATGCCAGTGGGATTATTCCCTGCCTCCTCTGTTTAGGGTTGAGCTGTTCAAAATATCATCCCAAAAGACCCACGTGCAATAAACCACTTAATATATTCACAGCCTTTGCTTTGAAAGCATGAGAGTGGAATGAGCCCTGAATTGCTAATCCTTAAAGTGAGTGAGATGCAGCATCCTGGCTGACGGTCTCCGAAGGAAAGTCCGTCACAATTACAGCAGGTGGGAAAAAGAACTCCCTTCACCGCAGAATGAATGGAAGGAATACATTGCTCACAGAGTTGATCTGGTTTTTAAATTAAAAAAATAGAAAAGAAAGAAAGCCTGCAAGCCCACCCTCCAAAATGCAAACGTTATTTGGTTTGTGACAACAAAAACCTAAAAATAGAGTAAATTCTGCTTTTCAGTTGTCAAAAAAACTGCAAACAAGAAGAAAATACTTTTTTTCCTCTACAACATCTTTTGAAAATATTAGCCAGACACGATCATTTCCTTATACAAACCTTGTTTTGTCAAAAAAAGCCATTTTTCCTTTAAGTCGAATGGCACTGAACAGTCTTTGACTAGCTCTGTTCAGCGGAGGGGATTAAGCTGATTATACTTGAACTCTTGGTTCCTGAGGTCCCAGAGAAGGTGTCTGAAACCAAATACTTAGCCTACTAAAACCTTTCCCAGGAGCTTAAAAGAGTAATCTCTCTATCTAGGCTTCTGGCAATAGCTGTGTCTATCAGACACTCATCAAACACTGTAGCATTAGTTGTCGTCACAATTGCTGTTACTTTTCTGCCCCACGAGGCAGAATTTTGCTCATGTTAGCTCAAGACCTGGAAGGCACCTATAAAACGCACAGGAGAGCAGCAAGACAACGACGTGGTTTTGTTTTATCCATGGGCGACCACAATGAATGACTCGTAAGGATGCCCAGTCAACTGGGATTGTAGCTACACAGTGTCGTGCTATCCAAATGTGTGAATGGACAAATACAGCCATGTGAATGGACAAATACATCTTTGATTCGAGAGGCAATTGAATGTGTGTTCAGGCTGCGAGCACAGAACATCCGACTGTGCTTTGTAATAAGAGCTCACACAAGCACAGGGGCTCTGTATGTGTGTCATCCCTTATATTCCATGTGCAAATATATATTTGCATGGGCCTCGCTCTGACTGCACCAAGCCTCTTTTTGCACTCAAAGCCAAATTTGAAAATTGAGAACTTGGCCTTGAGAAGCTAATATGCTGCCTTAGTAGATGGGCCTGAGCCTACGAGGAAGATGGCATGGTTGAGTGGGTCCCTACCCCTGACCTTGAACGGGACGAGTTTGCACTTGAACTCCAGAGACCTTTGTTTTATATCCAGCTCAAGCAGTGATCTGGTTTGTGACCCTTGGCGAGTCACTTCAGCTCTCTCTGTATCTTTATTTCCTCCCTTTCCCTTGACCTGACTTTCTTACAAGCACTGTGTCTTACTCATATATAGCCAAGTGCAATAGGGCTACAGGCTTAGGTGGGATCTGAAGGTGCTACTGTGATGCAAATATTACGGCAAATCCCTGGGCACCCACACAATCCACTAAGATCAAAGGGAGTTGATACACACAGCCGCAGGCTCTCTCGTATTAAATGCTGTACCTGTACATCCCTTAATACCCTCTAATGCTCCAGGCTGCTTGCTTTTATTACCAACTATCCTGTTGCAGCAGTTCAAGCAGAGAGACTCCAGAAAGAAAGGATCTTGCCAGTTCCCCAGTAATGCCATCAGGCTGATTTAAACCTAGCTGGAGCTTTGCAATGCATGCATTCTCTCTAGGATTTACTGAAGCCAGCTGCAGAGGCTGGGCTGCTGGATGAGCAGCTTGGTGAGCTGCCCTTGGCTTAGGTGCAGGGCCCAGGACCAAGACACAAGGAGTCAAGGGGACCAGGATGGCAGTGGCAATGACCAGTCCTGCTTTGCTCCTTGTCCAAAAAGTCCAGATTGCTTCAAGTCAATGTCCAAGGGATTCCATCTGCTACAGCTTCCTGGGTTGAGAAGGGGATTGCTGCACCTTGGTGGGGAATTTTTTTGTGGATAAGGAGCAACGGTATTTGGAGCAACGAGGTTCTGGCAAACCCACAGGAGGTGAGAGAGGAAGCAAGCCAGGCATCCCAGGAATAGAAGAGGAAAAAACACCAAGCTAGTTGGGAAGGAACAATAAAAACCTATGCAAAGGGATATCATTCCAGCAGATTCAGACCACTGGCTGAGCCTCTGCAAGGGTGGAGAACTATAATTACCCACATGCATTTTTTATGACTGCAAGGATCAGAAGACCAGGAAAAATTAAAATTAAACTTAAAAAAAAAAAACCCCACACACTTAAAATGCCAAATTGGAATGAAAGATAGGCAGACCGAGCAAGGGAATTGGTCTTTTACAGCCTGATCATCTGTTTGATTTTGGCTTCTGTCACCATGACCGGGAGGTGTCACCATCTGATACCCATTTAATGGCCAAGGAACAAAGTGAGTCAGTGGGTTCAACTAGTGGAGAAATGCTCCCAACGCAACAAGCATGAGCATAGCTGGACCCTAAGGTGCTTCCATCAATGGCAAGCATAGTGGAGGGTAGTGCCCCCTGGACTGGAGGAACTATGTAAAAAAGAAAGCTTGCTTTTCAGTTCAGGGCTAGACATTTCAGTGGGGTATTTTAAGGGACTTATCACCAGTGATCTGATGTGGGCATCTCTTATCAGAACTAGATAAATACATCTGGGAGGGAAGGCCCCAGAAATACCCCAGCCCCCACCCCCAAAAGTAGACTTCTGCACACTCCCCCTTACCTGAGAAGGTAATGTTGAATCCCTCATAGGACATGGAGAAGTCTGAGATGAAGCGAATCTGAGCAGAGAAGTTTCCAAAGAGCCCAGCGCTGAGCGGGGCCGGCAGGCGGGATCCAGTGAGCTGTTTCAGAGGCTGGGTGAAGCTGCCGTTTTCGGTGATTAGCAGGTAGTCGTGGCCATTCTCCAAGTGAAAGGTGTGAAAGGTGAAGAATACACCTGCAGCGTGAGGAGGGAAAATAAAAAACCAAACACAACAGGGGAGCACCCCACTTAGCAGGCAATCCATTTACAGGTCCACCACCACTGCACCAAATCAACAGGATGGGCATAGGTATTCGACTCCAGGACTTCAATGAACAGCAGCTTAACTGAGAAGACAAAAAGGAAACTGAAAAGTCTAGGAGGCAGAGGAGATAAAGAGCAGGATAAGGGTACAGAGGATAGTGCCTGAGTTCGACAAGACGGATCAGGGTTTTCCATTCATGCCCCACTATCATGAAGGGCGCAGGGTACAATATACCCCTAACCATCAGAGCTCAGACATGGGTTGTCACTGAAGCCAAGGGCAATACATTTATATGGATAATCACAGGATCAAGAGTGCAAATTGAAAAGGATCACAAGGATAAGAGGAGGATCAAGTGTGTCAAAAGGGATCCGAACACAGGTACTTAAGGGCATCGGGCTGACCTCTTAACACATGGGAGTTAGGAAGGTGCATTCACTGGGAACAAGTTATCTCCCAAGTGCCAACGGTAGGAAGTGCTCTGAAGCAGCTAGTGCTGAGCAGTGATGGGGAGAGAGGATGGTAGACTAGATGAAGCTTGGTCTGATCTGCCACGGTAAACCCTGTGAGCAAGAAAGAGCTTGCATTTTTAGCCTGACAGCATTTTGCCAAAACCATCATTAAAACCAATATTGCTAGCAATTACTACTATTAACAAGAAAAAATAATTAAAAGAATAAAACAATAATTGCATTAAAATCATTAAAGTATGATATGACCAGAAAAAAAAAAAGAATGAAAAGAAAGCTCTTCTCCCCCCTCCTGAAACTAGATTTCAATATTTTAAACAAGCTGGAAGGGTCTGACCTCACTTCATTTGTTATGGCTCTAGAAGCAGTGATGGATTACTTAAAACCTCACTCTCACCTACGCACTCATAAAATAGCAGCTATTTCTAACTTCCACAGAAGCTTCCAGCTGGGTGATTTCCACACTGGAATTCAAACACAATCAGACACCCTTGTTTTAAGCCAAAAGATCTGCTGCAGCAAAAAAAAAAAAAAAAAAAAAAAGGGCAGCACCCATTTGGGAAAAAAAAAAAAAAATGGAAGCAGCCTTTTGGGGAAAAAAAAAAAAAAATGGAAGCAGCCTTTTGGGGAAAAAAAAAAAAAAATGGAAGCAGCCTTTTGGGGAAAAAAAAAAAAAAATGGAAGCAGCCTTTTGGGGAAAAAAAAAAAAAAAGGGCAGCACCCATTTGGGCAAAAAAAAAAAAAAAAAAAAAAAAAATGGCAGCAGCCATTTGTGCAGAAAAAAGAAAACAAAAGCAAGCAGATCCTGAATCATGGACCCTGCCATGCAGCCTTCAAATGAAGTTAAACTGCAACAACACCTAGGAATGGAATGATTCCTTTGCATTTATAGGGCTACTTTCATCCAAAGCTTTTGATGCACTTTCCACTTATTAAGGGGCAGACTGCAACACCCTAACTCACACTGACTTCTACTTTATCCTATTCACCACCCTACCAAAATCTTGCAGAGGAAGACACTATTCCAGGGGACAAGGAATATCACAATCTGGACCTATTATGGCCAGAGCATAATGTCCTTCTCTGTACAAGCAACGCTCTGCAGCACTACCGATTTAAAGTACAAGGAAACCAAGAAAAGTCAGCAACCTATGACATGTCAGATTGGATCATACCCTAGGTCAGGGGTGGACAAAATGCAGCCTGGGGGTCAGATGCAGCCTGCCAGGCCACGCTATTCAGCCCATGGGGCCCCTAAAAAGTTTAGAAAATTTATATTTATGTGCTCCTGGCTGCCTATCGTGCGGCCCTCGACGGCTTGCAAAAGCTCAGCAAGTGGCCCTCTGCCCAAAATAATTGCTTGCCCCTGCCCTAGGTCCATCTACTCTGCAGTGCTCAGATCCTGTTGCTTCAATTATGACTATTCTGAATACTCTCAGTATCCATGGAAGGAACCAATCCCTTTTTGATAGTTCATTGTTCACCTGTCAGTAGAATAAAAACACTTAAGCATCAGGAACAGAGGATGCATGGGACTGGTAAAGGGGATTTCACCGGTAAGTCACTCACTCAGCTGCAATGTGGGAGCTGGAACATCTCAGTTGTGTGTCAAGCCCTGCCACTTGGCCTCTTCTTCACTAAACCTTGGTGATCCTCAACTTCCCAAATGGAACCACTTGTGTGAGTAACTGCTCACCAACAAGTGAATAAAGGGATCACACTTTATCTGATAAGCATTACAATCCCCTTGTAGGAAAAGGAAATATTGGCTCAGTCTGGGCACAAACATTTTAGTCATTTTTTTTCCCCATGAAGTCATCAGGATGACTGACATGGCTAAATGGTTCCAAACTTTTATCTTTCCAACCAGTGCTATGACTAGTTGGAAACAGCTGTAACAGATTTCCGGTTGAAAATGAGATGGGGTGAAATGAATAAAAATGTTTGCACTTGATTTTCCCCTTTTTCGACCAGCTGTAGAATTAAGTCACCATTTTACAGAAAGCACAGCGTATCTAAGGCATGGGGGAGTGATAGGCTCATGCAATGCCACACCATACGTGAGCTAATAGTAGACTCCAGATTCCCTGGATTTATCGGTTCTACCGTCTGGACCACACCTGCCCTCAGAGCAAGGAAATGGACCCGGGAGTCCTACCTCTTCCTCCTCTGCTTTCAAATTCACTCCTTCTTCCCTGGTTCATCTATAACAAGCAGAGCCAGTGAACAGCATTATCCCTATAGCAGAAAGGGCTGACTCTGAACTCATTTTAAACGATTTGCAACTGTGACTAAACTTTTGCTCAGCTCAGGAAATTCACTGCAGCACAAAATGTCTTGATACGAAAGCAAGCCTCCTTTTTTTACTTAATTGGGGCAAAAGAAATCCCTTTGGTCAGCTTCAAGTCACCAGATTAAAAAGCAAGGGTCCTTCCTTTTTTTTTTTTTAGCAGTTAAATATCTTTAAAAAATCATGTACCCATTAGCCCATAATATAAATGACTGTTTATGGGCCCATGAAAAAGGGTATTTTAACAGCCAAATTACTTCATTTTGGAAACTGGTATAGTGCTCATGGGCAGTAAGTAGAACAACATTTCATAAGGTCAGGGAGCAGATGACTTGCGAGATTGGTTTTTGTGATGCAGAACTTTTACCAAGAAGGTCGTTGGCTTGGAAAGGCACACGGTCCAACGGACTGGGAGTCGGGACTCTTTGGTCCCTTTCCCAGCTCTGCCGCAGATTTGGAAATGGCTTCACTTCTGCGTGCCTCTGCTTTCCCAGTTGCAAAGTGGCATAATACACAGTGCTCAAGGTCTACAGAAAAAGTCACCATAGAAGAGCCAGGCCCAGTGAGAACAACCAAACGCCTACACATGGCATCTGTCCTGCGGCCAGTTAGAGGACTTGTTTCCTTGTGCTGGTTCTGCAAGGTGGTCATTACTATCACACTTGGACCTGAGTGAATACTTTTTTGGCAGTCTCAACATGGAGACCCAAAGAAAAAGGGGGACATAAGCATCTGACTGAAAGAAAGACCTGGCATGACACTCTTCCCAGCTCTATCCACCGAGCTGTGAGTTGTCAAAATGTGACAGTAGATTGTGTAGAGGTTTAAAAAATGGCTGCATGTGTTACTCTGATGGGGTCCAAATATACCCAGACCCTCAGCTAAACTACTTGACCTCACTTTTCTAAGGAGAACCAGTGTGTACATGTGGGAACGGTGACCTGTCCCAAATGCCATGCTCTTGTAGTGCCAAAATGAGTTGTCTCTCAAGGTCAACCCTGCACAACTCCCCTCTCATCCCTTCCAGGAAACAGTTAACAATGAGGATCTTCAAATGTTTCTGGGCATCACCTCATAAAGGTGAATGGATCAGTTCACACCTCTTTTGTTCCAGGATCTCTGCAGGGATTATACCGGGTTCAAAGGTCTGAAGTTAGAGACTGACTTTCTTTAAAAATGCAAGCTGAGAATAAGAATGCAGCTTCAAAAGACATGCCGGCAAGGCACACGGGCATGTTTTATGTCCTCACCTGCCTAGATCACAGCTGGCCCATATAAACATGGTTTCTCCCTATCTAAGATAGCCCTGATTAGCAGGAAGCACAGCAGTGTATTGGATGCCCTTGGAGAAGCAAGGGCAAGGCTTTTAGAGGGAAGCTGCTGAGAACAATATTGAAGACAGCAAGAATAGCACCTGTTTTTGTAGGGCCTGAACATGACCTTAAGACTCAGTCACTTTTCATCAATGCTTGCATTTATGGCTGGTGCAACTGTTTGCTCAGGCATGAGCTGTAAAATGACACAGCATCCTGGTTTACACAAGCAGGTCTGTCAAGAGCAAATGTTTTATAATGCACGGTTGGGGGGGAAATAGCATCACATCATTCCACGGCAGAGTGGAAGAGCTAAGCTTGGATGTACTTAGGTATGGGGAATAGTGTTCCATTTCAAAGGAGACATTGTTATATTAAAAAACCTCTCAGTGATCAGATACAGTAAGATCCTTGATATTCAGATTAGAATGCATCAACCTTATGACAGACTGGAAGATCAAGGCTTTTTGCAGGAGACGTGAGCAGGAAGAATGAGACTGCGGGTAAGCCCCAGGCAATGCGCAAGTGAAAGCAGCCAGCGGACAGGAGGAGGAGAAAGGATCGATAAGTCAATTAAGACTTGCCCATCATAAATCTTTCATTAGAGTCAAAGCTAATCTAAGAGAGCATTTGAGAGGGAAGGCGAGGGTCTTGCTCTAAAGGACCTGGTGCAGGCTGGACAGGGACGTGGGAAAGGGGTGCTTGGAGCAAGAAGAATAAAGAGCTGCTACATGAACAGCAAAGTTAAGAGCTTAGTGCTTGCAAGAGAGGGCAAACCCACTGGAGCGTAGCACATGCAGGACATGGGCAAGCTGCCTGGGACTGTGCTGGAGCCCTGACCCAAGAGCAGCAGGTTGGGGTGGGGAATCCCAGTTTCGTTTCCATTAAACCTTCAGTCTCTCCACTGAGATGGCCAACATGGAGGATATATCATCCAGTTGAAATGCTAGCTGCTCAGCTGGGCACTTGCAGAGGTTAACTCTGCTCTGCTGAAGTCAATGGGAGTTTCACTGCTGACTTCATCGAGACTGGAAGCAAGCTGTAAGAAATTAAATTTCCAAGCTGCTCTCAATAACCCAGACCTTGGCCAAAAATGAGGATTCACCTCATACTGGAGGAAAAACAGAGAATGAAAACAAGAAAAGAAAGAGAAAAGGAAAGAACAGAACCAAGATAGAATAAAGCAAGTTGGGAAGACAAATGAGAGTGGGTGGGCAATGCTCACTCTCAAACCTGGAGAGAAATCAAGGCAATAAGCACAGCCAGGATCTTGAGATCAAAGTAGCTCCTGTTGCAACAGGAAGAGGCGTGCAAAAACATTGAGAAAGCCATTGGAAATGGGAAGATGGAGAGTCTGGGAATCAAAGTGTGGCAACATTAGGTACAAAATATCAGTCCTGGATTAGAAAGTTCAAGAGCAAAAGGAATGAGCTATGGAGCACAGAGAAAACCCACCTGCTTAGCATCTCAGAGGTTGAACCTGCCCAGCGACCCAATGCAAAGCTTCAGAAAATATAATGTATTGCACCCACCAGGGCCAACGAGCCTCGCACGGACTGGCAAAGTAAGCTCTAACAGATTCACAACTCAATAGGTGGAGACTCCACCAGTTCCCAGCTGCCAGTGCCACCGGTCCAACAACAGGACAATGAAAACTGCGTCAGGCCTGATCCTGGAACTGAAGAGGAAGCTGGACTGAGATGCCCTGGCAGAGGTTAAAGCCTGAAACAGCAAGGTCTGGATAGAGATTCCTTGCAGCTCTGCCAGCGTCTCTCAGCACTGGGATCCCCCAGTGAATGCCTAGACTGAAATATTCTTGGGGGCTTTGTATGAGGACTCAGGGCTGGACGTTGGAATTGGTATTCCTGCATTGGTAGAGCTGTGTGTAGAAGGGGCCCCGAGCTAGAATAACTCAGGGCACTGTGAGGTGCATGAGCAAGTACACAAGAGCTGCAAAAGGCAAACTGACCCCACACCTCTTGTTAATACACCGCAGTGACTAGTCTTCTGTCTTTAATGAGCACCAAAGTCTCACCGCAATTTGAAATGAAGGGGAGCTCAGAGAGGAACATGTTACAATGCACGAAATCCTGCAGGACAGATGCACCTCCCTTGAGGCTGCAAAGAGGCAACGGGGCAGAATTTGGTCTGGCTCCTGTAATCCTCCTCTGTTCCCACCAGGCCACATTCATCCCATCTCCATCTCTGTTGCTCGCTCCTGACATCAGTTTGTTGTATTGCTTCTTACACAAAGTAGGAGAGAGGTTACTGAACAAGGCCGGTGGATCTTGTAATGCGTTCGCCTGTAATTTAATGCAGCTGGGACCAGTCTGATGCAGTTCATTAACAAGGCAGAAAGCTCAGCTTCAATACAATCAGAACACATCTACAACACATTGTAGTCTGGTGCCTGGCTACATCTCATCTCCTTTCGGAAAGCATTAGATAAAAGGCGATCTTTGTACGTGCCCCTCTTTCATTATCCTGCTAAATAAACAGAGCTCCTCTGAACTCCAGGAACAAGGGAGAAGAGGACTTTTTGACATGACAGTTGGCTTGGTGCCAACTGATTTTAATTGCACGATGTCCTCTGTTTAACTGCTCTTTTCCCAGGGCACCCTTAATTGGGTTTTGCATTTTCCTGCGAGCATGGCTGCATCGCTTGATCCTGTCTCACCCGGGATGCAGCAGAAATATCGAAAGGGTGACTCGGCAGAGTGGAGGAATCGAGAACCAAACTTCTGAGTCACACCGCGGACAACTGGTGACACCTGGATATGCAGATGGATGCTTGAACAAGGAGAGAGAGTCCAATCCATGCTAGCGTGTATTTCCAGTTGGCTGGTGATAATTACAAAGGGAAGATCCTAGCCACGGACAAGACAATGGGGGAAAATAAACTCATATTCTTACTAACATGAACAGTGGCTTCCCGCTAGCCTACAGACCCTTTTTATGCTAGGATTGATGTCCTTTCAATTTTCCTGCAACGGTGGGAAGTCTGATGTAGGCAAAGTGCTCGAGGGTCGTAGCATTTTAAGTACCACGGGTGGATTTTCAGGAGACCAGATGGCTGTATTTTCTGATACGCAGCAAAACATTTTCCTAAGAGCCCAACTCCAGTAAGGGACCAGCTTTTCAGAAGATCTCAGCCCCATCACCAATGGAGCTGAGCTCTGTGGACAACCTGCCATCACGCCTTCTTACCTTGGATAAAGAGCTAGCAGCCACCTGCATTTGTGAGCTGGCTGTAGCAGCAATGGGACACTTCTGGAGAAGAAAAAAGGCAGACAGACTAGCATCCATACAGCTCCACTGCTCGCACACAAAGTTTGCGTTGAAGCTCCCCATATGTGGTTAAAAGACATTCCTTTGATGTTAGGGAAAAATAAAGTGCACACACCATCTGAATTGTATTTTATAAGAGGGTATCAGTTCTCTATGTTGTGCATCAGCTTAGCAACAGGATAATATGTCTCATCAGAAGCGCTGAATCCAAGGCAGAGTGGATTAATGAAGAGTGGATTGCCTCTACTCAACAAAATACTTTTCTCAGCATGTGAAAGTTCCCTTAATGCACTTGTGCTTTTCGCTGACAAGTTTATATGCTTTCATAAAAACAGGCATCACAAAATTGGCAGATGATAACTCCTATCGTATTGCTGTGTGGTATAACTAAAAAGACAGGGTTATTTGAGAAAGCATAAAACTGTATACGGAATATAAACTGGTCAAGCTGAACCTTAGGCAGGTAGGGACGGGCTTAGGAAGAAATCTTCCCTTGATGGCAATGAATTCTTTAATGGCCTGTTATGGAGTTTCTTGCAATTCTTCTGAAACACTTGGGACTGGCCAGATCCAGTCTAGCAGTTCACATGTTCTTAATTAGAGGGTCTCTCTGATCTACAAAACTGGGGAAGGTGCAGGGAGCTGATCAGCTGCATCTCAGATTCATGCAACAGGAGGATGATACTTAATGCACTGTTGTGAAGCACTTGGATTCTTACAGGCGAAAGTGCCACGTACACACATGTGAAATACTGTTGCTATTATGGCAGCAGCAGTCCTAGCTGGCTTGACTTTCTTTGGTCATTTGCCATCAGCCATTAACGTACAAAAAGCAAGAAACAGGAGCAAAATGAAGACTTAATGCTCCGTTTCAGGTGCCTGTAAACCCTGTGTCGCTCCCTGACCCTGTGGAGTGGGGGATGTCCGACATAATCCGATTGCTCGTGATGCAATCTCAGGAAGTCAACCTGAGAATGGGGGGCAGCTGCTTGTCAAGTGGTACTGGGAATCAAGGGGTAGAGAGATTGATTCCTGGCTGCCATGTCAGTAAGAGGAAAAAGACTGAATAATATCCATAAGGGAATGGCTGAATGCAAAGCAGTCTGAATCAAAACCATGGTCATGCTTGGTCTTCCTGCAGTGCATTTCCTCTGAAGACCTCAAGATGCTTTCAAAAAAGGTGGCTATACTTTTTGCTCTGTTTTTAACAGGTGGCTACACTGGGGCAACAGGGGATTAGACTAATTAGCCCAAGTTCATGCAGGACCCAGGAGTCCTAGCTCCCAGTCCCCTCTTGTAAGCATCAGACACCACTGCTGCCTCCTCAGACACAGTGGTATATCAGTAGTTGCTGAGCAAGTGCCTTTGTAAGGATGTGGAAGTGGGACTATCCTTGCTGTCTTCACCAGGACGGGACTGACCAGGAAAGCTCAGCAGAGGAGTTGGACCCTCCGCAACTCGGATAGGTTTGGATATAGCATTCTGCTTCAGGCAGTTTGTGAAACCAGTCTCCAATGCAAAAAATGAGTGGCACGTAGTGGTATTTGTGGGATACCCTGCTCTCTGTTGCAAGCCAACCTTTACGTGGGGCACCATCCTGTTCACTCCCCCACACAGCATCTCCCTCACTCCCCTCCTTCCCCAATTTAAAACTGTCTCACCTTTCCCATGAGAAGTCTCTATGGTCCAAGTGCAGTTCAAGTTATTTGGGTAGAAATCAGGGAAACCTGGAGATAAGATGGTGCCACTGGAGCCACGAATGTAACCTCCACAGAGAGCTGTAAAAATCAAGAACAAAATAATAAAATAAAATAACCCCTCCCCGAACTCCCTGGATTAACCGGGAGGAAGGACAGATGTTACACAAGGCTTCGCTGGGGAACTGGAGGCAATGCAGGGTCTAATGAAAACTGGCCTTTGCATTCTATGCTTTCCCAGAATAAAAGAGCATGGGGGGCACCTGGATGAAACCCCAACTGAAAACAGTTCAGAGGTTTAAGGCAAGCAACTCTCAAAGCAGCACGCAGACAGCCGACAGCACTTCAGAGGAGCTACACAGACCAACTAGTTTTATGACCAATGGCCAAGTACTAACACCATGCAGACTGAGCTCACTCAGGGACTGAACCATATTACAGATGAGGCACATAGAAAAGGCAGTATGGGAAAGGATGCCTTCTGTTCTCTCACTTTTGGGGTTCAGTGGAGACCTATTATCTCCAGGGCTATGAACTGGACACCTTTGATGCATCCCAAATTCAACGGACAACTTTCTACAGCTGGGGGGCTATTTGTCCCTGGTAAAAGCCGACACCCCTTCATCCCATAGAAAGCTCTTGTTCATGAAACCAGAAAGAAGGTACCCAGAATACGGGCTGTTAAAACACCAACCATCACTGCTCCAGGGACCTCCAGTAATTGTGGTAAAAACCTGCGCTGGGAAAAAGGAACGCCACCGGGTTGTAATTGCTGCCTTGAATACCTGCGGGACCTGCCGCGATATCCTCGAGTGAGACCAGGAGGCACTGCAGTATGGCAGTTGCTGCAGAGCTTTTAATGGCCCTGACTGTGCACCAAAATCATCCTGCCTTGCCTGGGGTATTAGCCATGAGATTCAAGTCAGCCCGGGATGTGGTGCTGATTGTTCACTGCCCTCGCTTCCTCTCCTGAAGATATTCTCCTCTCAAACACTTACCCTCGCAGCTTGGTAGAGGCCTGCTCCACTGGAAGTTCGGCTCACACTCCAGGGCTTCATTGTCGCTCAGGGTGTACCCCGAGTCACAGCTGAATGTCACCAGTGCTCCAACATAGAAATCATTCCCGTGGCGTTGTCCGTTCACAGGAATCCCAGGGTCCAAACAATGGTCGGACTGGAGCTTCACAGCTGCGGCAAACAAACCATCAGACTTCCAGCAGGGACAACCAGCCCCATAAATCATGTGCCAGCTGCTCAGGGAGGCAAGCATTCATCAGGAACTTTTACATAGCTCTCATATCATCTAAGAAATACAGGCAAGACCTGGGGTGGCTCTGGTTACATTCACCAGCTCCGGCTCAGTCATGGATTGGGAAGCACAAGGACATCAGTCTTCAGCCCATGAAGTGGGGAGGTTTGGTGTCACAGGGCAATTCAGGAGTATCAGTGAAAGGGCTGTGCTGTATGCAAGACACCCAGGATGGGAGGAATCACTTGGAAGAGGGCAGGGGGCTGCCAAGATATGGCCCACAGGGCTCTGGCAGATGCTGCCTTAGGACTGAAGATTACCCAGAGAAATCCCATGGCTGCATTGGAGAAGACTTGAGTTTTGGAACAGAAACTGTGGAAACTCCTTGGAAATTTTCAAGAGCAGATTAGACAGACACTTGGCTGGGATCATTTAGCCAGGGATGATTCTGCCTAGAGCAGGGGGCTGGACTATGAACTTGTGAGGTCCCTTCCACCTGACTTCCCTATGGTCCTATGATCCCTCTCACACCTTTGATTTAATCGGAAAGCGGGATTCTCTGTTAACTTTGTTCTATTTTGGTGCTTGCATCTACTTTGGTATATCCAATCAACCTGTTGAAAAGGGAGGGCATTGAACAGTTCACTGATGGAGGTGGTGAGTGAAAAAATCCACAGGCATCATGCTGGGATTATTTATTCAAGGCTGTTAGGTCCCAGATGGACAGGAAAATTACATTTATTTTTTGTTGTCGCATTTTTGTCTCTGAATTGCATTTGCCTGCATGGGTATGGGATTCATAGAAAAATGTAATTATTTACACTGAGAACTACTGATATGCCACACAAATCATAGAACCATAGTAAAATAGATCTGAAAGGGACTTCAGGGGGTCACAGCGACTCCAACCTCCTGCTCAAAGCAAGATCACATCTGTCTAAATCATTCCAGACAAGGATTTTTGGAGCCTGTTGTTAAAGACTTCCACCATGTCCCTAGGTAACCCATTCCAGTGTTTCCAGTGAAGAAAGATGGCTGGTTAGAAAGACTCCCAAAGAAGCAATGGCAAATGACCGACTTGTATAGATAGCATCTGAAAACAGAGCTTGCCTGTAAGATCAATGATTTCACTCAATCGATGGCTACAGAAATACAACTGCGCTGGACATGTTAACTCAGTCAAGTAACAGCCATCACCTAATAATCACAATGCTTAACAAACATGATTTCCTCCCTATAAAGCAAGCCTCAGAGGCCCCACTGGACTATTTTATTGACTGCAGAGGTGCCATTGCAACATTAGCCGCTTGTGAGAATCTCCATTTATCCTATCTCCCAGGCTATGGCTCTGCTGATTTTATCCCATCACCTTGGGAACAATGGAAGGAGGAAGTCAGATCCGCTTCTTCTAAAATAATTCTATTCTGCAGACATTTCTAGTTGTTAAGGAAAAAAAAATCAATAATTATGATCATAACATAGAGGCTGTTATTGGCTCATAATAGTTCCAAGGCCTCAAAACACTTGACAGTAATAGTGTTAACTGCATGGCCAAGGGGAAAAGAATTGCCAATGGGCCTTTGACTGAATCCTTTGTGCTGCTGGAGAGGGCATAATTATTGGAGGTTGCACTTACTTTCATATCGGATCTGAAAGCCGATGTCGGAGTGGCTTTTGTCGGTGGTGAAGAGGAGGTAGAGGTAGTTGCTTGTGCTAATGAGGAACTGGGGCACTTGAGTTCCATCATATACACCTATCAGTGGGGAAGAGTACGACCTGCCGTCTCGCACCTCCAGGGTGTCGTAGTTCACTTCGGTCTTAAACCTGCCATGGACATAAGAATATATATCAGTGAAAAAAAAAAACTTTAAAAATCTTTCCGTTATGTTTCTGAAGAAGGCTGTAATTACAAGCGGGCAGCTAATACACTGGACTGCGAATATTTAGGTCTGTTCTCAGTTCTATCAGAGGCCTGACCTGTGACCTCCTAATTCTGATTTCACCTTGCTTTAGGTCACGTAGGCAATCTGTAGGTTAGAACAGAGAACTGGATTTGGGTTCAAGTCCCTGGAAATTGTCCACAAGCAGTATGATATTTTTCCTCTCATTTTTGCTCATTTTTATCTTAGTGAAAGGCGATCTGAGTGCAGTATTGGAAGACGGAAGCCCAAGAGTGCAAATAAGACTGAATCCATCTGCAGATTGAACTGCAGTGAGAATTAGTTGAAGGAGGATCAACTGAGAAAAAAGTTAAAAATTCCACTTAAAAACAAGTTACACACACACACACACACACACACACACACACACACACACACACACACACACACACACACACACACACACACATATAGATATACATCTATATATATCTATATCTATAGATATCTGTATCTATATCTATAGAGCTAGCCATCTATATATCTATCTATATACATCTATGTATCTACAGGTATATATAGATAGATACAGATAGATACGTCTTGATCTTTATACGAATTGAAACAAAAGCAGAAAATAAACAGCAATTTTCAGGCAGCTCAACAGTTGGTTAAATAAACAGAGGGAAATATTGTACCATGCATTGCTTCTATTTTTTATTCTGGATTGTTATATGAATGTTGGGAAAAAAAATGACTGGCTGTAGCACAAAGCTGTAAATGCATGCCATTATTCAGTCCTGCGTATAAGCCCTGATACAGCAGCCATTGAGGCTGGTGAAAATCCGTGCAGTGACTTTGGACCCATACAAAATATTGATTGAAAGGAAACGACGTTGTTATTTTTATCTGCAATGACTACCTGTCAAATGTAATTTTGATGGGATATCCTGGTTGAGCCTCTATGACCCACACGCAGTTTAGAGAGTCCTTGTAGAAACCAGGCCAGCCTGGGGACAGGATCATTCCACTCAGAGAAGTCAGGTGCCCACCGCACGGAGCTAGGAAAAGATGACATGGAAATCAGGTGAAAGGTATCAGAAAACAGACAGGCACTTTCAATTTAAATTGAGGGGAAAAAATGGCAAAAGGGTCAATGTGCCCATTAATGCAACACAGGGGACTGCAAGGAATGCCTGTTTCACTCAGGTGCTATTGATTCTTTTATTACAAATAATTAAAAACCGGATGAAGTCATGCAAACCAGGAAGAAACTGCTACATCCAATGAATATTAGAAATGCAGCAAATAACTCCTGAATCTATAGGACAGACAACAACCCTATGTCTGCTACATCCTATCTGGGACTTCATGGTCTGCCTAAGCAACAGAATATACGAGTCTACCTGGAACCCAGAGCCATAAGCAACCACAGGACTATGGTATCTCTTTAAGGCTGCTGGTCTTGCCCTGTTGGCCCTCAGTGGAGCTCTGGGAGGTACCAAAGAACTAAAGCAGTGGAGGAAAATACACTATTGATCACTCCTGGACACAGAATATTTGCTGGGGAAAATCTAATAGTCCTAACTGGCTGGAATGCATTCTCCCATAAGCAACTAAATAGGTTAGAAAATGCAGCTAATCCAGGGGTAGGCAAAATGTGGCCCATGGGCTGGATGCAGCCCACCAGGCCATTCTGTCCAGCCCACGGGGCCCCTAACAAATTTAGAAAATTAATATTAATCTGCCCTGGGCTGTCTGTCATGCGGCCCTCGATGGCTTGCCAAAACTCAGTAAGCGGCCCTCTGCCTGAAATAATTGCCCACCCCTAACTAATCCTACGTGTTTCTGAGTATCCTTGGGGGGATTTGGTGGCAGCTTACAAATATATCAGGAGAGAGCATCAGGGGCTAAGTGAATGCACACCTTCCTGGGGTGATTTGACCCCAGCAGTCTTTCCTGGACAGAGCAGCAAGGCTGGACCTGCTGATCTCACAAGGTCCCTTCCAGCCCTAAATTACTGTGGATACTTTGCTTGGTGTTTCACTGGTATAATTAGACATCTTAGCACCTCAAGTCCCATTCAGCTAATGGACGCATTGGTATCTAGACTGGCATATCAGTATGTAGACCAGCAGTGTTTGTACTTTATTTTCACAGTAAGTTTAGGGCTTGTGAAAGTCCATATGCTGGGAGCCTGAAGACTTCTGCTTAATTTCGTTGCTCCAGAATGCCTCCTAATTCCAGTCTCCATTTCTGTCCTGCCCGGTTCAATCTCTATCAAGAAACAGCGCCCACTGCGGCAGTAGCCCCGAGCTATTCAGGCTCTCTCAAGCCCCTCCTTCATTTTCCAGCTTGCCATCTTTGCAAGCAGAGATGCTCTTTTTCAGATATGTTTTTCTTGCCCATTAATTTTTCAAACTTTAAACAGTATTTTTTAATACAGATACTTTTCCTTTATTTTTTAAAGGGCTAATTATAATTTGCCTTTAATGGAGCACATACTGGAGGGTGAGTCAAAGGCAAGCTGCAAAGATCACAGATAAAGGAACACAAGTTAATAGCATGGGGTTATCAAAGCTTCCAAAGATAAAAGCCAATACAAAGATTACTTTATTTATTTCTCTCCACCAGCTGGAAAAAAATGCAAAGTTAAAGGTTCAAGCTTATGAAGGGAACTGAAATCTTGAACTGGTCTCCAAATTACTTAATTTGTCAGCTGTCTGCAAAAATACAATAATACAAAAAACCCAAACCCATCTCATCCTGAACAATAATCATTCAGGACAGCAAGTACCCTCTTCTCTCTTTAATGGGAAAGACAATAAAGTGGACTATGTATTTTTTGCCGATTGGCATTAAAATGTGGATGGGCAATTACTAAAATTATTTCTCAGTACTACCGGATCTGTAATTCAAACGCCTGTAAATATCATTCTGGCATCTTTTCTCTGAGAACAGAGGGGAAAAGAGGCCTTTTAATTCCTAACGATCTCTTTTCATTTCACTTCCCTTTTCCACACTAGAAACTTTAAAGCACTAGGAGCTGCTTTGAAATCCATGTCAGTCTTTATTTCTTGCTCCTTTTTTACTTTATTTTTGGGTGCAATCACAGACATATTGGCATGGAGCTGTGAACCGCAAAAATATGCAACTCCAGGGCCCTTTTATAAAAGTCTGATGCACTACATTGTCAAAGATACACGGAAGAGTCACACGTATGACTGAATTTCTGTAGCAAGCAATTCATTGCTCTTTTTACTGCAAAGATCTGGACCTTTTACTTTCTTGTATTATTTAAAGAATACATATGAGTGTTGGTCTAAAAAGTCAGGGCTGGAAAAGAAGAGATTCTCCACACTTTCCTTCTTTTTTTTTCTTCTTTTCTTTGCACCCCATGAGAAGACTGGTAACAAAGAACCTTTTGTGATAAGCAGATAAAAGCTTTTTCATTACTGTTATTATTAGACAAACACCTGCTTGCTGTATATGAGATAATAAAAATCCATCATTCATTTGGGAAAAAAGAAGCAAAATTAATTAAATTAATTATTCAATGATTATTGGGTTGTTCCTGAATGTTAAGCACGTGGCACATAGAGATGAGATCCCAGAGCTAGATATACCATATGCGTACCTGTGAAGGTGGGGTTAGAACAGGGGTGAGCAACTATTTTGGGCAGAGGGCCGCTTACTGAGTTTTGGCAAGCCATCGAGGGCCACATGACAGGCAGCCCAGGGCAGATTAATATTAATTTTCTAAACTTTTTAGGGGCCCTGCGGGCTGGACAGAATGGCCTGGTGGGCTGCATCCGACCTGCGGGCCGCATTTTGCCCACCCCTGGGTTAGAAGGCCAGTCTTTCACAGCTCTAAACGGCTTAAATCTTGACTCTGCAAGACACCAAGGATCTTCCCTTAGGATCCAGTGCTGCAAATAATTTTGCATGGATTTGACTTCCACACAGTAAGGCATCCCAGTATATTAACAAGCTGAGCATGTCATTAAACTTGCTTTGCAGGACTGGGACCCAGTAGCTTCTTCATTCTGCCTAGGATGCAGACATGAAAAGATGGCAGCCCTCTCTCCCCACCCTTACCCCTTTCATTTGCAGACACAAAATACATGTAGTTGTGTATTTAGGGTCTGATCCTGCAATTTGCTAAGTGCCGAAATTTTCTAAGCAGTAGGCCTGTGCGAAGCGGCTAGTATTCGCTTCAGATTTGGCTGATTCAGGGGACAGTGATCCGATTCGGTGATTCAAATCATTGTCCCGAATCCATTCGGCCGAATCTGATTGGGAAATTTGGCTGCTGCTGAATCTCTGAATTGCCGAACC